ACACACACACACACACCCACACACACGCACGCACACGCACACACGCACACACGCACACACACACACACACACACACACACACCCACACACACGCACGCTCTCTTCAAGACAAACACTCGCCATGGCCTCGCCATGACGTCACAGATGGCCCGGGAACAGTAAGCAACCCAGGAGGGAATGGAGGAAGACAGGGAGGGAGGAAGAAATAAACAGAGGGACGGAAGAAGGGAGGGGGAGTTTTATAAGAAGGGAGTGGAAGTTTTATTAGAAGGGAAAAGAGGAAGATACACAAGAAGAATGAAGAAAAGAAAGGAAGCGAGGGTGGGAAGGAGGAAGAAGAGAGGAGGTAGATAGTTCGAAGGTAAGAAGGTAGGTAGGTAAGCACGGAAAATATATAGGGAAGTATACAGTGGTAGATGAGGTAGGTAGATGGGGAGGTAGCGAAGAACCATGTCACAGATTTCTCCAGTGACGTCATCTTCTACACGAGTGCTGCAAATTCACACTCAACAGCATGCTCTCTTGTCACCTCACGTGACATCAGCATGCACCGCACCGCACCGCACCAATCATATATCCCCACACAGCACAGCATCTACAAACGTTGCCATGGAAACAACGAAGAGAAACCTGATCTCCTAGGCAACGCGTCTGGGATGAGCACCTGCAGAGGTTCACCTGGTTGCGCTCTCACCTCCTCTCTGCCTCCGCGCTCTTCGGACGTAAAACAGAAGCACGCTATGACGGAGTGATCACATACATGCGAGAGAACGACAGACGAACGAAGAGACAGACGAACGAGCAGAGATTGTCTGTCTTCTGTCGATGTCACTCGGAGGAGTTCGACATTCACTCGAAATCATCGAGAAAGCGTCGTCGTTTTTTTCTCTTTATTATTTTCATTTTATTTTTCGCTTTATTTTACTTTATCCTATTTTAGTTTCATTCCCCGTTGAGTTTTTCTTTACAGGTGCTTATCATATTTCAACAGTAGAGAACACAAGAAAGTTTTCAAAGTTCGTCAGAGATATAGCTGCTTAGGTGTATCACACACAGTACGTCATGGTTTCGGGGGTGAGGGGGTGGGAAGCAAGAGACGATAAAATCTCAACATGAATGAAACCACGCCCAGGCAGTAACAGACACGGAAACAGACGAAAAAAGGAACCAGCACGCATTGTAGAGAAAATAGACCGTAGCGAACATGCGCGTTCAATTTGTCGAGGTGTTTTTTTTTTCTTGAATGCGACTCACGAAAGAAGTACAAAAGTTTCGTCTATAGGTTCAAAAACTTGCCGAATTTTCGCGTACGGTTCGTTTGGCGTGATACAAACGCACGGACTGCAAATAATAAAAGAAAATCAAGATATCCTGTCAAAAATCTCTGATTTGTTTATGTCGCGGTAGGGTTGCCTTCCAGCCAGTTCCGAGGTTGCGCCGAAAAGGCGCTAGAAGGTGTCGTGCCATGGCAAAATACAATAGCATGCAACAATCGTACAGAGGGCGCCATTGCAGGGGAGGCTCTCGTTGTAAAAAAGAAAGAAATGGCGATTTTTGCAGCAGATTAATCAATAAAAATTTGGAAAAAACTAAAGTAAAGAAAGGGGGCATTACCACATTTTGAGCTAGTAAACGAGGGGCATTACCACATT